CACGGCAGTTGAGCAAAACGGTGTTTTCGTTTTGAACTTCATACCTAAGCGTACTACTGCTGACTCTGATAACATTCTCTCGCTTCGTCCTTGGGAGCATCGTGATGATATTGATTACACCGACGATACAGTTCCACGTGAGGGAGTTGTCCCGACGTCTTCAACCACGGCTGCCGCCGTCATGTTGACCTTTGACGATCAAGGCTTGAATGATGTTGAGAACTCTCGGGAGTACATGGCTGCAGTTGAAGGTTGGGGTGATCCGACGAACATGCCGACTGATGACGGCATCTGGGGGGCTGACGAACCTGATGAAACAACTTGGGGCGAGACACCTGCTGAACGCGATGCTCGTCTTCTCGCTGAAGCTGAACAACGCGTCGCTGAAATGGAGATTCTTGACTCGGGTCGTCTCGTTGGAGTTGAACTTGTACCTGCAGCATCCGATCAAGAAAGCGGCGAGTTAGTACTTGCTCCAGGCGAGTACGTGGATGTTGAGGTTCGTGTTCCACCACCAAATCTTACTCGTTACGTCGCACCTGCTTTCGATCAGATCCGCTCCGATGGTCATCAGCTTCTGTTGTCGTTCTTCGCTAACGCCGAGTACTATCTGCGCACACAAGGTCACAAAGCCACGGGAGAAACCTGGCATAAACGACTTGGTCATCCGTCGCAGTTTACGCTAAACAACACGATCAAGGCTGTAGTGCTTGACAAAAATTCGTTACTCTTACCGAGCGGTCTCGAACTGAAGCCGGTGAATCGCCCGGCACCCTGCACCATCTGCCCTACGGCAAACCTACCACACGAGCCGTTCCCGACTCATTTCCCTGGAGCTGACGATTATCAACTAATGGATAAGGTTTACAGCGATATACTTAACTTACCTGAGGATGGTTTCAACGGCGAACGCTACGTTATCACATTTACAGACGCTTCTACTCGTTACGTTTGGACTGGAAACATAACTAACCGTTTTCTTGCGTTTACAGCTTCTCGCACCTGGCTTCCTCTCGCCGAACGAGAGTCTGATACTAAGCTCAAGGCGTTTCAGTGTGACGGCGCCGGCGAGTATCGCAGTACTGAGTTCACGGCCTATCTGCAAAAACGCGGGAAGACGACTTTTTTTGTTGCCTCACGCTCATCAGCAGAGTGGCGTAGCAGAGAGGCTCAACAGGACTGCAAGAGAAGATGCGAGCCCTTCTTGCCCAGGCTCAACTCGGCCCACTCTACTGGCCTTTCGCCATGGACCATGCAACGCTGTTGCACAATCTTCTTTCGTCCTCGGCCCTGCCCAACAACGCATCACCCCACTTGCTGTGGACGGGCAAGTTGGGTACCACTAAATTACTTCGTGTTTTCGGGTGTGTTGTTCAGTACCGTCCTCCTACCGCTCCGCTCGGGAAGTTCGATCAGCGTGCTAAGTGTGGACTACATCTCGGCATTGAAAAACAATATTTTGCCTGGCGTATCATGGATTACCGCAGCCGTCTTCTTGTTCCTGCTCGCGACTGTATTTTCTACGAGAATCTGACGCTGCCCGTCTTCGAACAGCATCTTGCCATGCAGCAAAACCCTGCCACGCTTTTCCACGGTGTTCGTTCGTTTGCTAACGCCGATGTCGAAATTGCTGCCAGCGAAGAACCTGACTCTGACGGTGCACGTGAAGCTGCTCCCGACCCACCTGTCCCCGTCACGTCATCTGGAATTCCAGAGTTTATTCCTCTTGCTGACGCGGCACCTGAGGATGTCCGCGAAGTTCATCATACTTACCTCGTGGATGAACAACGCCAACCAATGCCGGTGGTTTCCGATAGCAGCATCCGTGTCAACCCTGACGAAATTGGGGGGGCAAGTGGAGACCAGAATGATTCTGTCAATTTCGCAGGTCATCCCGACGATAATCCACATTATCAGACCGGACTGCAAATTCTGGGACTCGCAGCAGCGGTACAGCACAGTTCTACAGTAAAATTGGAGCCGAAAACTGCCCGACAAGCTCTCTCAGGGCCTCATCGCGAAAAATGGCGTGAAGCGATGGATCGCGAACTGGCTGCCCTGGAGAAAAGGGGAACTTGGGATCTTATACCCATTGAAAAAACGGTAAACAAAAATGTTCTTACCGGTAAGTGGGTCTTCAGGGTGAAGACTAAAGCGGATGGTACTTACGAGAAACACAAGGCCCGATGGGTGGTTCGTGGTTTTGATCAGACTCATGGGATCGACTACACACTTACCTTCGCCCCGGTCAGTCGACATACGAGTGTTCGACTTATTCTTTGCGAAGCAGCCGCGAAGAATTTTCCACTTCGACAAATTGATGTTTCCAACGCCTTTCTGTACGCTGACGTCGATGCCGAAATCTACGTCGAATATCCGCACACATATCCGACAAATCCGCCAAGTGTCTGCAAGCTCAAGAAATCATTGTATGGCATCAAACAAGCACCGCGACTGTGGCAGCAGCATTTGAACAGGAAGCTGACGGAGGTTGGGTTTCGACAACTGCCGCACGATCCCGGGATGTACCGGCTAGACGACAAGGGGAGCTATGCGTTGTTAGTGGCTTACGTGGACGACATCCTCTACGTCAGCTCGTCTACTTCGCTGGGAGATCGTATCGAAGCCGATCTGAAGAAGTCACTTGACTTAAACATTTCCACCAAAGTGATTCAATTTCTGGGGTTAAACGTTTCGCGAACTTCTTCCGCTATTCATCTCACGGCTTCGAAGTATGCGGAGTCACTCGCTAAGCGTTTCAACATTTCCACGGATTTCGTTGCTACACCTTATCGGTCTACACTCACTGGGCACGTTCCCAATCTAAAAAAATTGTCAGCAGCTGGTCTTCAACTGTATCAGCAGCAGCTGGGATGTCTTCTTTTCGCAGCAGTCACTTGTCGCCCTGATCTTGCCTACGTCGCAAGTCACCTTGCGCAGTTTTTACGCTGCCCGAAAGAAGAACACTCTCTCGACTTACAGCGTGCGCTACGCTACTTCGTCTCTACACCAACACTCGGATTGATTTTCAATGCTGGGAAGCTGACCGACAAAATGTACCTCAGCGGGTACGTTGACGCAGACCACGCTGGCGACACGTCAGATCGACGGTCACGCACGGGTTATATTTTCCGTCTCGAGCCGATTGGTCCGATTTCCTGGAATTCCTCGAAACAGGAACTGGTGTCACTTTCATCGGCTGAAGCAGAATTCATCGCCGCTTGTGCTGCAACTCGCGAAGGTCTGTACCTGCAGGAGTTACTTGACGAAGCAAAATTCGCAACGCCGAATCAGTTCACGTTGCAGTGCGACAACCAGAGTGCAATTACCATCGCCAACAAGCCTGGTTTCGTCAATCGCACGAAGCATATTTCGCTGCGTTACTTCTTCGTAAAAGACGCGATCGACAAGGGGAGAATGCGCCTTGTCTACTGCCCCACCAGCGACATGGCCGCTGATTCGCTTACTAAGAAGCTGACACGTCAGAAATTTCATCACTGCAACCAGCTGGTCAGAAAAGTACCGATAGACTGGCGTCAGCAAAGCGCTACGCGCCTTAGGATGACGTCATCAGTAGCTGTAGGTATCGCGAATAGTCACGTACCTTTTCAGAACAGGAATAGCGCGAATAAATACAGCACAGTAAGCGAACATGTACTTTAGTCTAGTTATATATTCTATAGCGACAAAACTCTGAAGGTTTGTGCGTCGTCGTGCGACAATGTCAGCAACCACCCATCCCTGCGCACCAATGACAACTCAGCAGCAACTGCACCCCGCCAAAATCACACATGCGCGATTCTTCGATTCACGCGCTTCGATCATCGAGAAACACCACGACGCGACACCCGCGAAATGGTCACTCTGCAATTCCCCCCCAGCCAGCTTTCCCCCACCTTCCTGGAGTGACAAAATCCATGCTGTCTGCCTGCGATTGCAAATGCTGTGTGATGTGGTGAGGTGGTGGTCCCCCCCCCTCGACGAGATTGTGTTATGCTCGACTATTGGTGGTTATCAAACCGCCTGCCTCACATAAGCCACGTCACGACGACTCACGATCTTCCGCGACCGCGAGGACTAACCTAACCATCCCCCTAAGCGCATCTTGCTACGACCATGTCAGGCGCGCACGGCCAAGTTCCGCTGCTGGCTGGTATTCGGTGCTGCCGGCTCGCGTATGGTCTGGACCTGATAAGTTCGTCTCCTCGTGCCCCTGCTGATCCATTCGCAGTAGTGCTATGGTCATCTATCCGCGTCTATAGGACAGAGGGGCTGGAGGAACACACGGCTTCAGTGCCTCCAGTAAACAGCTGACTGAGTGATTCACCCTTAGCATCAACTTAGTAACGGCAAGGCATAGAGACTCGCCATTTTATTCATACCCGAGCCGTTACTAACTCACACTCGAGCCGCTACTAACTAGTGTGTACTAGCACTCACATTCCCTCTGCTGAATTCATAAAGCACAGGCCTGGGATCGAAGGATGATGACGTGTCCACCATTTAAGCTCTCGCGGCACAGGTGGGCCGTACACGCGACCGCGACGCTCGGCGCGCTGCTAACGCTGCTAGTGTGCGGGGTACGTGCCGAAGCGTCACTCAGATCAATGGATAGATCCAGGAACAAGCCACTAATAGGCTACAACATGATTGAGACCGATTTCTATATACGCCCCGCTAGCCCGCGGGTGCCCCGCTAGCCCGCGGGCGCCCCGCTAGCCCGACTTTTTTTCCGGGACAGTGCCGCATAGCCAGGCAGGCGATGCGTTGCTCCACTGTGACGAGAGGCGCTCACGCGCACATCAGCGCCCCCATCGAGCTCGCGCCTCCACTCAGTGGGGACGAGGGAAATGTTTGCGCTTTCCTCTTCCTCTCTAGGCTATAGTGCAGCCACGCCAGTTCGGCGCATCGACGCTGTCTGAGAATCCAGAATGATTACCAGTGGACTCAAGAACCACGCCTTCCCCTATTTTTCCCGTCCGTCTCTCGTCAATCAGGCCATGGTCCAGGACGCATTGACGCCTTTCTTCTCCCCGCTCCTCCTCTCCCACTCCTCCCCGCTCCTCCGGTTCCGCTCCTCCGTCCTCTCCTCCTCCACCTCTCCATCCTCCGCCACTGCGCGCCAAGCCGCTTCAAACAGCACCGCCGGCACCGGAAATGCCCCTTGCCCCGCACTTGACGCCGTAGCTGTAGCGCACGATGCGGGAAGCGGGAGCGGCGGAGATGGCGGAGAGACGAGCGGCGGAGAAGGCGGTTGGAAGAGCGGCGAGGAGGAACAGTGGAACGAAGCGCGTGACGTGCAGAATCTGGCGCAATTATCGGTGAGTGATGGCGCGATGGCGCAACTATCGGCGTGGCGGATAATGCAGTTTGGCGGATAGTGCCGGGTGGCGGGCGTTGCGGTATGCGGTGTGACTGGATGGGGGTGACAGTGCTTGCGGACGACCGCTGGAGCGGCCCGCCCCTCCGCGCTTCTCTTTCAAAGCGCATTTTGAGAGTACTTTGAGAATTCCCTAATATCCCTTCACTCCCACGCTTCTTGTTGCTCTCTGCGTGCGTGCCTCTGTCTGTACCTGACTGTGCGTGCGTCTGAGTGCGTATGTGTGTGTGCGTATGTGTGTGTGCGTATGTGTGCGTGCGTGCCCTTGCGGCGGGCAGCGCTACACGGAGGCACTGGAAGCGAGGCGCAGGCGTAATCAGTCAGACGTGGCTGTGGCGAGGGCGCTTGAGACGGAAGCGCGGCAGTGGAGGCAACGAACCTACCAGCAGCGAGGATTCCTCTACGAGTTCAGGTGCTGCTTCCAATCCTCTACGAGTTCAGGTGCTGCTTCCAATCCTCTAGGAGTTCAGGTGCTGCTTACAATCCTCTACGAGTTCAGGTGCTGCTTCCAATCCTGTGGCCATAATTATCGTATGCCGAGGTGGGACATAACCAGACTCACCTGCCTAGGTCTTTATCTTACCCTCCTCCCTCACTCATTTCCTCTGCTCTACCCGACACATTCCCCTCCTCCATCCCCCCCTATTACTCCTCTCTCATCTCATTTTTCCATCCCCCAGCGCCTACCGCGTCAGCCCCTCTCGCTTCGTCGTACTCGCTATAAGCGGCCTCAATTTCACATGGATGACGGACGGGGAGGGCTGCAGATGGGTGGGGCGAGACGGCAGCAGAGTGAACGGTTCAGTGTGGTACAGAGACTTCATGGGCCCCAAAACTCAGGTGCTTCATCTCACACCGCTCTCGCACCTTTCCCCTCATCCTCGTTTCAAACTGACTCGTCTAGTCACGAATTTTCTATCCAGCCCTTTCCCCTCCCTCTGTTCACCTCCACACCTCCGTCCCCCCTGCAGAGCAACTCAATACCCAGAAAAATTCACCCTCAGACTCTCTCTCCCCTTTTCTCTACACCCCCTTCCCTCATCCCCCTTACAGACTGACTCGCTAGCAGCGTTCTGCCAGCTGTGGGGCAACACGTCCCGGGCAGGCGGCTACCTGGTGATGACCATGGATGGCGTGGAAGCTGCCGTATTCAATGAACGCCCGGGGCAGGTGGGATGCGGGGCAGGTGGGATGTGGGGCAGGTGGGATGTGGGGCAGGTGGGATGCGGGGCAGGTGGGATGTGGGGCAGGTGGGATGCGGGGGAGGAAGTTATAATGTTTTGGAGGACAGCAGATTTGCACCTAACCTGGTGCTGCCAGCCGCTCTACGGCACGTTAGTCGCCGGGGCAGTGTGGGCACCGGCGGACTACTGCCGCATGCACGCCAACGTCTCCCGATTCCTCTCCCGATCCCCATCCCTCTCCCCTCCCCCCCCCCCCTCCATCTCCCCAACTGCAGCCTCTGGAACCACCACCGGACGCCTCCCTCCCAGTCCACCTCACGTGGTGCTCACAGCCGCTCTACGGCACGTTGGACGCGGGCATGGTGTGGACCTGGGCGGAGTACCACCGCGTGCACGCCAACGTCTCCCGCTTCATATTCTACGACATGGCTGCGTGGACTCCCGCCCTCACGGCGCTCTTCACGCCGTACTTTGCTGCGGGTGTTGCTGCTGTTACGGACATGTCGGCAGGGCGGCGGTTTGGGTTTCGTGCAGGAGTGGAGTTGCTCTACTTTACTACCAAGCACCAGGTGAGCTTCACACCAAGCACCAGGTGAGCTGCACACCAAGCACCAGGTGAGCTGCACACCAAGCACCAGGTGAGCTTCACACCAAGCACCAGCTGAGCTTCACACCAAGCACCAGGTGAGCTTCACACCAAGCACCAGGTGAGCTTCACACCAAGCACCAGGTGAGCTTCACACCAAGCACCACGTGAGCTTCACACCAAGCACCAGGTGAGCTGCACACCAAGCACCAGGTGAGCTTCACACCAAGCACCAGGTGAGCTGCACACCAAGCACCAGGTGAGCTTCACACCAAGCACCAGGTGAGCTTCACACCAAGCACCAGGTGAGCTTCACACCAAGCACCAGGTGAGCTTCACACCAAGCACCAGGTGAGCTGCACACCAAGCACCAGGTGAGCTTCACACCAAGCACCAGGTGAGCTTCACACCAAGCACCAGGTGAGCTTCACACCAAGCACCAGGTGAGCTGCACACCAAGCACCAGGTGAGCTGCACACCAAGCACCAGGTAGGCTTCACACCAAGCACCAGCTGAGCTTCACACCAAGCACCAGGTGAGCTTCACACCAAGCACCAGGTGAGCTTCACACCAAGCACCAGGTGAGCTTCACACCAAGCACCAGGTGAGCTTCACACCAAGCACCACGTGAGCTTCACACCAAGCACCAGGTGAGCTGCACACCAAGCACCAGGTGAGCTTCACACCAAGCACCAGGTGAGCTGCACACCAAGCACCAGGTGAGCTTCACACCAAGCACCAGGTGAGCTTCACACCAAGCACCAGGTGAGCTTCACACCAAGCACCAGGTGAGCTTCACACCAAGCACCAGGTGAGCTGCACACCAAGCACCAGGTGAGCTTCACACCAAGCACCAGGTGAGCTTCACACCAAGCACCAGGTGAGCTTCACACCAAGCACCAGGTGAGCTGCACACCAAGCACCAGGTGAGCTGCACACCAAGCACCAGGTGAGCTTCACACCAAGCACCAAATGTGTTTTGAGTCGATCAACACACACCCTCACGGCGCCCTTCACCCCGCACTTTGCTGCCGGCATGGCTGCTGTTACAGACGTGTCCGGAGAGCGGCGGTTTGGGTTTCACGCGGGGGAGTGGGCGCTGAGCTTTATCACCAAGCACCAGGTCGGTGGGGGGGGTTGTTTTGAGCTTCTTTTCAAGCATATACACCTTTATGTAACTGCATACGTACATACGTACACATTTCCATGAATACATTTCCATACATGCGTACATTGATTAAATCCTTGCATATATTACGTCTCCCACCACACGCTAGCAGGCAGCAACTGCACCTCTTCTCCTCTCGATGGGGCACACTGCTCGACACCAACGAGTTTTGAGGCGCCTCAAGCAAAACTGCTCAACACCAACGAATTCATCTTGCCCGTGCCGTCACAGGCACAGGGCGATCTCAGTACCTCATTCCGCGAATCGAGTACCGCATTGAGCACCTCTTCTTCACTCCCCCCTCCCACCCACCAGACCCTAGCCAGCAACGACTGCATATACCGATCGCTCTTCACCTCGCGCTGGATGACCCTCCACGACACAGACGAGTTCCTCTCTTCTGCTGAGACATGTGCACGCCTATTCTAGCACCTAATTCCACACACACCTCTTCTTCCCTTATACACCCCCTCCCACCCACCAGACCCTAGCCAGCAACGACTGCATATACCGATCGCTCCTCACCTCGCGCTGGGTGATCCTCCACGACACAGACGAGTTCCTCGCGCCCGTCCCCCCGCACTCCCTGCCCTCGCTGCTCGCCACGCACGCCCACGCCCCCTGGCTCTCACATGGTGCTTTCGCCGTCGAGCCCTCTGTCTGCCAAGGGGAAGGGGGGGAGGACGCACCCGCACCTGCTGAGGCTGCTACGGTGGTGCCTGCTGACTCTGGTGGTGTTGTGGGTGGTGGGTCTGCTGCAGTGGAGGCTGCTGGTGGTGGTGCCCGGGGGGCTGGAGCGGCAGTGAACGCCAGAAGTAGGCACGCAGAGACAGCACTGGGAACAGCAGGGAACGGCACGGAGGGTGCTGAGATGCAGTGGGATGAAGCTGCAGGGACGGAGGCAAAGAGACGTGCCGTGCAGCTGCTATCGCGAATGGTGTTCCGGCACCCAGACGTGTGGTGCTTGCGCGACAGGGCGGAGGGGCAGCGGATTGACTCAGAGCTGTGTGAGGACTGGCGGGGCCACCGGAAACTGATTGTCAACCCGCGCAAGGTGAGACGGCCTCTCACCCTCCTAGCAGGTGCTGCGTGGTGCTGCGTGGTGCTGCGTGGTGCTGCGTGGTGCTGCGTGGTGCTGCGTGGTGCTGCGTGGTGCTGCGTGGTGCTGCGTGGTGCTGCGTGGTGCTGCGTGGTGCTGCGTGGTGCTGCGTGGTGCTGCGTGGTGCTGCGTGGTGCTGCGTTGTGCTGCGTTGTGCTGCGTGGTGCTGCGTGGTGCTGCGTTGTGCTGCGTTGTGCTGCGTGGTGCTGCGTGGTGCTGCGTGGTGCTGCGTGGTGCTGCGTGGTGCTGCGTGTGCTGCGTTGTGCTGCGTTGTGCTGCGTGGTGCTGCGTGGTGCTGCGTGGTGCTGCGTTGTGCTGCGTTGTGCTGCGTGGCGCTGAATGGTGCTGAGTGGTGATGAGTGCATCCCCGCAAATCACCCATCACCCCCTTGCCTGTCATCCCCGTTGCCTGTCACCCCCATTCCCCTTCAGGTGGAGGTTATGTCTATCCACATCGCACGGGAGCCACAGAAGGGCGGAGTAGTGCTGAACGCAGCAACGGAGCTACGGCATTTCCATTTGTCTGGAGTGGTCAACCCGGTCAACGCACACTGCCAAACTATAGTGCCGCCCGGCGAGTCCCACGTGTGGTTTGTGCGGGACACCACTGTTGCTGACAAGCTACGGCTTCTAGTCAACTCTTCTGCCCCTCAACCTGAACCCTGAGAAGCAGGGGGAGCATCGTACCACTCTAGGGAGTTTCTACTCTTGTGTGGTTTGTGTGGGACACCACTGTTGCTGACAGTGGCAGACAAGCTACAGCTACTACAGTGGCAGACAAGCTACAGCTACTACGCTAGTGGTCTACCCACCCCCCCGTCAGCCTCAACTATGACTTACTAGCTAACGGCTTGTCTCCACAGCCTGAAGCTTAAGAGAATTTTATTTTCAGTGGAACTGTAATTTGAAGTGTCACATTTTTTTTGCAGTCTAAAGACTTTTAGCACTCTTGAATCAGTAGCTGGCAGTGGCAACAGAGGTAAAACGAGCCACTCTGCTGGCAGGCATACGGGCATAATATTGCCGAGGATAATGCCACCACTGCGTTTCAATAGCAACACATTTCTACACCCAGCGGGTGCACCGCTTCCGCTCCTACCACTACCACTGCCAAGACAGCTCACACCGCACTACACCACTGCAAACCTGGTCATCCACTAAACGTAATCTTTCACGGCTCCTCCACTGCAGCAACTCACTGCAGGTGCATCTGTGAACGAAATGGAGGCCATGCCACGGGTGTCACGAAGCAACAACTGCGCGGCTCTCCTTGAGTCCACCCAGGTGCTCCCTTCCTCACTTTCAAGGCGCCTGGGAAGGCGGCACCAGGGTCAGCGACGGCTGCTCGGGCCCTCTTTGCTTCCATGTACTGCCGCTCGCTCACTGCCTTCTTTGCATGCCGCCGCTGCAGCAATGATGCAGCGAGGGGAGGGGTCAGGAGAGCAGCCATGTGAGGGGAGGGGGCAGGAGAGCAGTGGTGTGAGGGGAGCGGGAGAGAGGTACCTCCCCCTCCACTCTTCCCCCTCTTCCCCCTCCACTCCACCACGGATACCTCCCGCTCCTCTTTCACTAACAGGGTGAGTGGAACCGCACGTACTACCCGAAGGAGGCGAACCACCTGAATGCGGAGCAGTGGTACATTCCCCCTCACCCCCCATCCCTGGATATCACCGCCTTTCTGCTCATCTACAGGACGAGTGGAACCGCACGTACTACCCGAAGGAGGCGAACCATCTGAACGTGGAGAAGCAGTGGTACATCGTCGACGCCACCGACAAGCGCCTGGGCCGCCTCGCCTCCACCATCGCGAACCATATCCGTGGCAAGGACCAGCCCACGTACACGCCGTCCGTCGACATGGGCGCGTACGTCATCGTGATGAGTGTTTGGGAGCGACGGCTGTGTCGTGTGTTAGGGTTTGAAGCCACTGTCGCCAACGCCCTTCGTCGTCCTTATTCTCGCCTTTTCTGACTGCCACACGAACGCGGGAGTGGATGACGCTGGCGTGGAAGACGCAAACTGTGTACCTGCTGCATTCGAGCTCAATCCTTAGAGCCCTACCTTCCCATTTCACCCCTACCCTCTCCCTCTCCCCACCTCTTCCCCACCAGGTGAACGCGGAGAAGGTGGCGGTGACGGGCAAGAAGCGCGCGCAGAAGATTTACCGGCAGCACTCGGGGCGGCCGGGCGGGATGACGGAGGAGACATTCCACCAGGTGCAGGCGCGCATCCCCGAGCGCATCGTCGATCACGCCGTGCGGGGCATGCTGCCCAAGGGCCGGGTGAGCTGAGGGGAACAGGGGCTGGGGGCGGGGCAGGGCGTGTGGGGTGGGTTGGGTGGTGGCGGTGAGGCTGGGTGGTGGTGTATCAAAGGTACTGATACGCAACCCGGAAATCAATGTGGAGCACGCCGTGCGGGGCATGCTGCTCAAGGGCCGAGCCGCGCCCTGGGGGGCTTGGGGGTGGGGCAGGGTGGTGAGGTTATACAAGGGGCAGTATGATTGATACAGCTGCGTCCCTCGGAGGATCATGGAGCATGCCGTGTGGGGCGCTGCCCAAGGGTCGGATGCTCTTTGTGCCAGGAAACTTGGGGATTGAGCTGGGTATGTGGGCGACGCTGGGCTTGGCCGTTTGGCTGAGTGACATATTTGTCAGAGGTCCACTGGTTATCCCCGATTGATCCTAGGGAAGGGTTACAGGCTCGTTGTCCTGAGGGGTTATGGGCGCACTGACCCGCTACTTAACAAGCCATTTTATCCCAATGGTCTTGTGGTTGGGATTCTGACAATATTGACAGAGAAAAGAGCCACATCATGGAGCGAATAGTGGACCAGGACGTGCGAAGCATGCTGCCCAAGGGGCTGGTGGGTGGTGGTGAATGGGGTTGAGGGCAGGGTGTCAGAACTTGAGCTTAGAATCCATGCATTAGTGATGAGCTCAAGGCTCTTTAAGTACATCAGAAATGGGCAAGGTAAGAATGGTGGGGGCAATCCTAGGGGATTGGGGGTAATTCCAAGGCAATCTCCAATTGATGGGTTGGAGATTGCTTGGAGATCACATTTGGGTTTGGTTGGGATGTGGGTGTACACTCAACCAAACACAAAGTACACAGTACACTAGGATATAGAAGTGCAAGTACAAAATGTGAGATTTGAGGGCTAACATTAACACAGGGGTGGGGTAGTGAGGTGGGGGCATGTCAAAACACGACTTGAGCTCCATTCTTGGAAGTGTTCTGAAGCGTTTTGATGGGGTATGCTGTGTAGGCATGCTGGTATGGGATATATGGTGTGGGACATGTTGTGTGGTGCATGTTGTGTGGGGCATGCTGTGTACAAACACACCTTATTGACCCTCCACACTAGAAACAAGGGAGTATTGACTGTTGTTTCACTCCAGTTGCTATGGAGTATTGACTAATGTGTCTCTTTCGGTTTTCTGCCCTCTCTTTCCACACCAGTTGGGTCGCCGCCTATTCACACACTTCAAGGTGTACAAGGGCGAGTCGCACCCACACGAGGCCCAGACGCCACAGCCTCTGCCGATTCATGACAAGCGCATCTCTCTTGCTTGAAAATACAATTCATTAGCCTATTTCTGTATTTGTTTGACTGTTGTTAGAATTCTCATGTGTCTACTGCAATATCATACTCTGGCCTGCGTGTTACAGTGTTCCGCTATATGATGCAACCATCCTTACAACTGCATTAACACTTGTCCAATAGTGAACTTGTGCGCTACAATTTACTTCTGTACTCGGTACAAAGAGAGACATGCGTGTTACCAAGCATGCGACAAGCTCTGAGCGAGTGTGCGTCATCGTGGTGCTGTCGTTCCCGTTCGTGCGCCAATGACAAATCAACAACAACCATCCAGCCCCACGATTCTTGATTTCACGCGCTTCGATCCTATAAAAACACCGCGACTCGACACGCACCAGATTGTCACTCCATAATGCCACCAGCCAGGTAGCTATCCCACCCACCCCACGTCTTCCTGAAGTGGCAGAAGTATTTCACCCTTTGCCTCAACAACTAGTAAGTAGCGGAAAGACTTCGAGACACGCTCGTCTCTTCATACTCGAGCCACTACTAGCTCACACTCGAGCCGGTACTAACTCACACTCGAGCAGCTACTAGGTAGTATTCATAAGAAGTCACAGCTCCTCTGCTGAAGTCATAAACCCAGACCTGGGATCGAAGGATGATGACGTGTCCACCTTTTAAGAGCTCGCAGCACGGGTGGGGCATACACGCGGCCGCGACGCTCGGCGCGCTGATGACGCTGCTAGTGTGCGGGGTACGTCACGCCGAATAGAGCAATGGACCGATACAAGCCACGTATAGGCTACATTAAAACTGCATAGTGATCGCCATCAAGTTCTGAGACGGCGCCGCCGCATAGCCAGCCGACGCGCTGCTCGATCGCGGTGAGAGGCACACGTCAGTGCCTCCCATCGAGCGACTGTCTCCACGCAGTGGGGAAAGGGTAGGAGGCCACATTTGGGGGCCAGAGGATTTTTGCACTTTCCTCCTCCACTCTTGGCTAGAGTGGAGGCTGCTCGAGGCTGCTCTATAGCCCAAACCACGCCTTCCCCTCTTCTTCCTGTCCATCTCTTGTCAATCAGGCCCTAGTCCAAGACGCATTGACTCCTTTCCTCTCCCCACTACTCCTCTCCCGCTCCTCCCCTCTCCTCCGGTTCCGCTCCTCCGTCCTCTCCTCCTCCTCGCCCTCCTCCGTCGCTGCGCGCCAAGCCGCTCCAAACAGCACCGCCGGCGTCGGCAATGCCCCATGTCCCGCACTTGAAGCCGTGGCAGTAGCGCATAAGGCAGGAAGCGGGAACGGCGGAGATGGCGGAGAGGCGCGCGATAGAGATGACGGAGTTGGCGGAGAGAAGCGCGGCGAGGAGGAGCAGCAAATTGAAGCGCCGGGTGACGTGTAGACTCCGGCGCAGCTATCGGTGAGTGATGAAGCGCTGTCGGATAATACGGTGTGGCGGATAGTAAGGTGTGGGGGGTAATGCGGTGTGGCAGATAATGCGGTTGGCGGGTATTGCGGTATGCGGTGTGGCGGATAGTGCAGTATGGGGTGTGGCGGATAGTGCGGTATGCGGTGTGGCGGATAGTGCAGTATGCGGTGTGGCGGATAGTGCGGTATGCGGTGTGGCGGATAGTGCGGTATGCGGTGTGGCGGATAGTGCGGTATGCGGTGTGGCGGATAGTGCGGTATGCGGTGTGGCGGATAGTGCGGTATGCGGTGTGGCGGATAGTGCGGTATGCGGTGTGGCGGATAGTGCGGTATGCAGTGTGGCGGATAGTGCGGTATGCAGTGTGGCGGATAGTGCGGTATGCAGTGTGGCGGATAGTGCGGTATGCAGTGTGGGGGATAGTGCGGTATGCAGTGTGGCGGATAGTGCGGTATGCGGTGTGACTGGACGGAGGTGACAGTGGTTGAGAACGGTCGGTGGAGTGGCCCACCCCGCCCCTCCATTGTGAGCGCAATTCTTGAGAAGTCTAAAAACGTTCTCCACTCCCATGCTCTCTCCTCCCCCCTCTGCGTGCGTGTGTGTGTGGGTGCCTCTGAACCTGCCTGTGCGTGCGTCCGTCCGTGCCCGTGTGTGTGTGTGCCCTTGCGGCCGGCAGCGCTACACGGAGGCCATGGAAGCGCGGCGCCGGCGAAACCGGTCGGACGTGACTGTGACGAGGGTGCTTGAGGCGGAAGCGCGGCAGTGGAGGCAACGAACCTACCAGCAGAGAGGATTCCTCTACGAGTTCAGGTGCTGCTGCCATTCCTCTACGAGTTCAGGTGCTGCTGCCATTCCTCTACGAGTTCAGGTGCTGCTGCCATTCCTCTACGAGTTCAGGTGCAGCTGCGATTCCTCTACGAGTTCAGGTGCTGCCATAGTCAATGTCGTATGTATGTACACGGCCAAGCTCTCTCCTGCCTTATCTCCCTCGTACCCTCGTCCCTCACTCACACACTCACTCACTCATTCCCCATCCTCTATCCGGCCCGTTCCTCTTCTCCATCCCCATCAACCACTACTCTCCCATTTCTCCATCCCCCCAGCGCCTACCGCATCAGCCCCTCTCGCTTCGTCGTACTCGGTATAAGCAGCCTCAATTTCTTGTGGGTGACGGAAGGGGAGGGCTGCCGATGGGTGGGGCGAGACGGCAGCAGATTGAACGGTTCAGTGTGGTACAGAGACTTCATGCGCCCCAAAACTAAGGTGCTTCAAGTCACACCACTTACTCACACTTCCCCTTATCCTCGTTTCAAACTGACTCGCCTGGTCACGAATTTTCTATCCAACCCTTTCCCCTTTCCCTCTCCATGTCCTCACCCTCGTCCCCCCTGCAGACGGACTCAATAACGAAAATATTCATCCTCGGGTTCCCTCCCCTTTCCTCTACACCCGCTTCCGCTCATCCCCCTTACAGACTGACTCGCTAGCAGCGTTCTGCCAGCTGTGGGGCAACACGTCCCGGGCGGGCGGCTATCTGGTGATGACCATGGACGGTGTGGAGGCTGCTGTTTTCAACGAGCAGCCGGGGCAGGTGAGATTCGAGGGAGGTGGAAACTGGGGGAGGTTGGATGCGTGTTGAGTTGACTCTAAGGCTCACCAACTATCTGTTGATGACCATGGACGGTGTGGAGGCTGCCGTCTTCAATGAGGGGCCGGGGGAGACGAGATTTGAGGCAGGTGAGATGCGGGGTAGGTGAGATGCGGGGGAAGGTGAAATGTTGTGGAGGACAGCGGGTATGGGGCAAACTAATCCAATAGAGGATTGGATTCACTCCTTTATTATTTTAAAAAATCACGCATCCAGCACCACACTTTTTGACTCCCCTCCCCTTCCCCTTACCCTCCCCTTCCCCTTCCCCTTCCCCTCCCCTTTCCCCCCCCTCCCCTTCCCCTCCCCATTCCCCAATCGCCCTTGCCACCACCCTCCGCCCCCCACAACTGCAGCCTTGAGCCCCCTCCGGACGCCTCTCTCCCTGTCCATCTCACGTGGTGCTCACAACCTCTTTACGGCACGTTGGACGCCGGGCCCGTGTGGGCATGGGCGGAGTACCACCGCGTGCACGCCTCCCTCAGCCACTCTTCTACTCCCCTCCCCTTCCCCTCGCTTTTCCGCCCCCCACCCCCATCTCCCCCACTCCCAATTTCTCGTGTTCTCCCGTCTGTCCCCCCCAACCGCAGCCTTTGGAACCCCCACCAGACGCCTCTCTCCCCGTGCACCTCACGTGGTGCTCCCAGCCGCTCTACGGCACGTTGGACGCCGGGCCCGTGTGGGCATGGCCGGAGTACCACCGCGTGCACGCCAACGTCTCCCGCTTCCTCTTCTACGACATGGCTGCCTGGTCGCCCGCCCTCTCGGCACTCTTCGCGCCCTACTTTGCTGCCGGCATAGCGGCCGTTACAGACATGTCGGGAGGGCAGCGGTTCGGGTTTCATGCGGGGGAGGGGGCGCTGAGCTTCATCACCAAGCACCAGGTCGGTGGGAGGTGGGAGACTGTTTTGAGGACATGTCGGGAGGTGGGAGCTTTATCACGAAACACCAGGTCGGTGGGAGACAGTTTTGAGCTTGTTTTCAAGCATAAAAACTCTTTTGTATATGCATACATACACGTACACGTATCCATATATACATATATGTGTACATATACTTATTTATATACAAACCTTACACCTCCCACCAGACGCTCGCAGGCAACGACTGCATATTCCGGTTGCTCCTCACCTCTCGCTGGGTCACTCTACACGACACCGACGAGCTCCTCTCCCCTGTGCCGCCACAGGGTGCACTCCCATTCTAGTTCCTGATTCCGCACACACCTCTTCTTCCCTCCCACACCCTCTCCCACCACCAGACCCTTGCAGGCAACGACTGCATATTCCGGTCGCTCCTCACCTCTCGCTGGGTCACTCTACACGACACCGACGAGTTCCTCTCCCCCGTGCCTCCCCACTCCCTGCACTCGCTGCTAGCCACCCACGCCCACGCCCCCTGGCTCTCCCACGGCGCCCTCGTTGTCGAACCCTCCATGTGCCAAGAGGAAAGGGAGGGGGCACTGGCGCCTGCTGGGGCTGCTGCGGTGGCGCCTGCTGACGCTGCTGCTGTGGCGGCTGGTGGTGGTACCAGGGAGGCTGGAGCAGCAGTGAACGCCAGCAACAGCCACGAAGAGACAGCACCGGGGACAGCAGGAAACGGCATGCAGGGTGGTGAGGCGCAGTGGGACGAAGCTGCAGTGGCGGAGGCGAAGAGGCGCGCCATTGAGGTGCTGTCCAGACTGGTGTTCCGCCGGCCGGAGGTGTGGTGCGTGCGGGACAGAGCGGAGGGGCAGCAGATTGACTCGAACCTCTGTGATGACTGGCGGGGCCATCGGAAACTGATTCTCAACCCCCGCAAGGTGACACGCCCTGCCCTCTCAGGATTCCTGCTCCCTCCTAGGAGACTCATTTTCTCGCTCCCAGATGCATCTTTATGGTTCACATTTTCCCCTCAGTGGAGCAGAACAGCAGATGGATGGGGACCGGTGTGACGACTGGCAAGGCCACCGGAAGCTGATTCTCTCTTGTCATGTCATTCTCGTTATAAAATCCTTACAAGATCTACCCTTCTAGCTCTCGTTCCCCTCTCTTGTCATGTCATCTTCAGTGCACGCTCTGCATCCTCCCCTTATTCACTCTCCTTATCCACCCATTTCCCCCTCCAAATCTCGGTCTTGTCTATCACGTAGCAGGGGAACCAAAGGAGGCCGGCACGGTGCGGAAAAACTCCCCACCCAACCAATCACTCCCCGTTCTTGTGAACTCATCCCCGCGCTTGTCATCCCATCTCCCACCCTCCACACCGAGGTGGTGTCCATCCACGTGGCCTAGGAGCCGCAGAAGGGCGGTGTTGTGCCAAACACATCCTCACCAATCAGTCATCCCCTTGCTTCTCACCCCCATTCCCCCTCTCAGACCGAGGTGATGTCCATCCACAAGGCACGGGAGCCCGAGAAGGGCAGCGGTGGTGCTGAACGCATAACCACCAACACTCTTCTTCCTTGCTAACCCATCCCCTTGCTTCTCATCCCCTTGATTGTCACTCCAATCCCCCCCTTCCAGACGGAGGTGATGTCCATCCATAAGGCATGGGAGCCCGAGAAGTACAGCGTGGTGCAAGCGTGCCATTTCCTCATCTCATTCTTCAATGCACGCTCCCCAACCTCCCCTTATTCACTCCCCTTATCCACCCAATCCACCCTTCCAGACGGAGGTGATGTCCATCCACAAGGCACGCGAGCCCGAGAAGGGCAGCGTGGTGCAAGCGTGCCATTTCCTCATCTCATTCTTGAATGCACGCTCCCCGACCTCCCCTTATCCCCTTATCCCCCCGTTCCACCCTTCAGACGGAGGTGATGTCTATCCACAAGGCACGGGAGCCCGAGAAGGGCGGTGTGGTGCTGAACGCAGGCACGGAGCTGCGGCACTTCCATTTGCCTGGCGTGGTCAACCCAGTCAACGTGCACTGCCAAACCCTTGTGCCGCCCGGGGAGGACCACGTGTGGTTCGTGCGGGACACCACCATTGCTGACCAGCTACGGCTACTAGCTAACGCCTCTGCTCTGCAGCCTCTACCCTGAGGAGCATCAGGAGCATCAGGAGCATCTCACCATTCTATATAGTCTCTACCCTGATGTGTGGTTTGTGCGGGACACCACCATTGCTGACCAGCTCCGGCTACTAGCTAACGCCTCTGCCCCTCAGCCTGAACCATAAGGGCCATTAGGAGTAAAAGGGACCACTCTAGGGAGGTCCACGTGTGACTGTGCGGGACACCACCATTGCCGACCAGCTACGGCTACTAGCTAACGCCTCTGCTCTGCAGCCTCTACCCTGAGGAGCATAAGCACCCTGCAGGTGCATTGCAGCATGCTAGAGAGTCTCTACCCTTATGTGTGGCTTGTGTTGTGAAGGGCACCACCATTGCTGACAGGCTAAGGCTACTAGCTAACGTATCTGCCCTTCAGCCTCAACCTGAGAAACATTAGCAGAAGCATTGAATGCACCACGTGAGAGAGTTACTAGCTAACATCTCTTATGTGGTTTGTGTTGTGACAGACTTACCTGAACATAGAAGCTATAGTTACTAGATACCTCATCGTCCCCTCAGCCTGACATTTTAGGCGCCACATCCGCGTCACACCAGTCTTGGAGGGTCTCTCTCTGCGGCCATGCGAGGGTTTCGAGGGACATTAGGGGGCTCTGTAAAGCCACCATAGGTTGTCGGACAATGCTTTGTCGTAACCCAGACTGATTTGAGACCTTTCCTCCAGACTGTCTGGTGGAGGCCTTTCCTCCCTGGGAGGGTATCAGCAGAGGGTGGTGGTGAGTGCTGCTTGCCAACTTGTACACCTCCCTAGCTGCTGGCAGGTTACCTGAAGTAGTCCTCACCAAGTGGCTTTTACAGTCAATTGATCATTATTCTCAGTGCAACTGTAATTCGCAAGTGTCCCTTTCCATAGCAGTCAGCACTGTAGCCATTTGCCACTTAAATCACCGGCTGCCGGCAGAGATATGATAATAAGTGGGCAGCTGGCGGGGCATGCTGCCGGGCTCTAATGATGAGGACAACATTATTACTGAGTTTCAATACCAACACATGTCTGGACTCTGCAGCCGCACTACTTGCTACCACTGGTAAGACTGCTCGCACTGCACTACACCACTACAAACCTGATACTTCACTACAGGTAATCAGCCGCAGCTACTACACTGCGGCATCTCACTGCAGGCACCGTCAGTGAAGGGGGGGGAGCAAGAGTGTCATGACTCATGAGGCAACCACTGCTCGGGCTCTCTTGGCTTCCATGTATTCACGCTCACTCCCTGCCTTCTTCGCATGCCGGCGCTGCAGCAGCGACAAAACTCTGAAGGTTTGTGCGTCGTCGTGCGACAATGTCAGCAACCACCCATCCCTGCGCACCAATGACAACTCAGCAGCAACTGCACCCCGCCAAAATCACACATGCGCGATTCTTCGATTCACGCGCTTCGATCATCGAGAAACACCACGACGCGACACCCGCGAAATGGTCACTCTGCAATTCCCCCCCAGCCAGCTTTCCCCCACCTTCCTGGAGTGACAAAATCCATGCTGTCTGCCTGCGATTGCAAATGCTGTGTGATGTGGTGAGGTGGTGGTCCCCCCCCCTCGACGAGATTGTGTTATGCTCGACTATTGGTGGTTATCAAACCGCCTGCCTCACATAAGCCACGTCACGACGACTCACGATCTTCCGCGACCGCGAGGACTAACCTAACCATCCCCCTAAGCGCATCTTGCTACGACCATGTCAGGCGCGCACGGCCAAGTTCCGCTGCTGGCTGGTATTCGGTGCTGCCGGCTCGCGTATGGTCTGGACCTGATAAGTTCGTCTCCTCGTGCCCCTGCTGATCCATTCGCAGTAGTGCTATGGTCATCTATCCGCGTCTATAGGACAGAGGGGCTGGAGGAACACACGGCTTCAGTGCCTCCAGTAAACAGCTGACTGAGTGATTCACCCTTAGCATCAACTTAGTAACGGCAAGGCATAGAGACTCGCCATTTTATTCATACCCGAGCCGTTACTAACTCACACTCGAGCCGCTACTAACTAGTGTGTACTAGCACTCACATTCCCTCTGCTGAATTCATAAAGCACAGGCCTGGGATCGAAGGATGATGACGTGTCCACCATTTAAGCTCTCGCGGCACAGGTGGGCCGTACACGCGACCGCGACGCTCGGCGCGCTGCTAACGCTGCTAGTGTGCGGGGTACGTGCCGAAGCGTCACTCAGATCAATGGATAGATCCAGGAACAAGCCACTAATAGGCTACAACATGATTGAGACCGATTTCTATATACGCCCCGCTAGCCCGCGGGTGCCCCGCTAGCCCGCGGGCGCCCCGCTAGCCCGACTTTTTTTCCGGGACAGTGCCGCATAGCCAGGCAGGCGATGCGTTGCTCCACTGTGACGAGAGGCGCTCACGCGCACATCAGCGCCCCCATCGAGCTCGCGCCTCCACTCAGTGGGGACGAGGGAAATGTTTGCGCTTTCCTCTTCCTCTCTAGGCTATAGTGCAGCCACGCCAGTTCGGCGCATCGACGCTGTCTGAGAATCCAGAATGATTACCAGTGGACTCAAGAACCACGCCTTCCCCTATTTTTCCCGTCCGTCTCTCGTCAATCAGGCCATGGTCCAGGACGCATTGACGCCTTTCTTCTCCCCGCTCCTCCTCTCCCACTCCTCCCCGCTCCTCCGGTTCCGCTCCTCCGTCCTCTCCTCCTCCACCTCTCCATCCTCCGCCACTGCGCGCCAAGCCGCTTCAAACAGCACCGCCGGCACCGGAAATGCCCCTTGCCCCGCACTTGACGCCGTAGCTGTAGCGCACGATGCGGGAAGCGGGAGCGGCGGAGATGGCGGAGAGACGAGCGGCGGAGAAGGCGGTTGGAAGAGCGGCGAGGAGGAACAGTGGAACGAAGCGCGTGACGTGCAGAATCTGGCGCAATTATCGGTGAGTGATGGCGCGATGGCGCAACTATCGGCGTGGCGGATAATGCAGTTTGGCGGATAGTGCCGGGTGGCGGGCGTTGCGGTATGCGGTGTGACTGGATGGGGGTGACAGTGCTTGCGGACGACCGCTGGAGCGGCCCGCCCCTCCGCGCTTCTCTTTCAAAGCGCATTTTGAGAGTACTTTGAGAATTCCCTAATATCCCTTCACTCCCACGCTTCTTGTTGCTCTCTGCGTGCGTGCCTCTGTCTGTACCTGACTGTGCGTGCGTCTGAGTGCGTATGTGTGTGTGCGTATGTGTGTGTGCGTATGTGTGCGTGCGTGCCCTTGCGGCGGGCAGCGCTACACGGAGGCACTGGAAGCGAGGCGCAGGCGTAATCAGTCAGACGTGGCTGTGGCGAGGGCGCTTGAGACGGAAGCGCGGCAGTGGAGGCAACGAACCTACCAGCAGCGAGGATTCCTCTACGAGTTCAGGTGCTGCTTCCAATCCTCTACGAGTTCAGGTGCTGCTTCCAATCCTCTAGGAGTTCAGGTGCTGCTTACAATCCTCTACGAGTTCAGGTGCTGCTTCCAATCCTGTGGCCATAATTATCGTATGCCGAGGTGGGACATAACCAGACTCACCTGCCTAGGTCTTTATCTTACCCTCCTCCCTCACTCATTTCCTCTGCTCTACCCGACACATTCCCCTCCTCCATCCCCCCCTATTACTCCTCTCTCATCTCATTTTTCCATCCCCCAGCGCCTACCGCGTCAGCCCCTCTCGCTTCGTCGTACTCGCTATAAGCGGCCTCAATTTCACATGGATGACGGACGGGGAGGGCTGCAGATGGGTGGGGCGAGACGGCAGCAGAGTGAACGGTTCAGTGTGGTACAGAGACTTCATGGGCCCCAAAACTCAGGTGCTTCATCTCACACCGCTCTCGCACCTTTCCCCTCATCCTCGTTTCAAACTGACTCGCCTAGTCACGAATTTTCTATCCAGCCCTTTCCCCTCCCTCTGTTCACCTCCACACCTCCGTCCCCCCTGCAGAGCAACTCAATACCCAGAAAAATTCACCCTCAGACTCTCTCTCCCCTTTTCTCTACACCCCCTTCCCTCATCCCCCTTACAGACTGACTCGCTAGCAGCGTTCTGCCAGCTGTGGGGCAACACGTCCCGGGCAGGCGGCTACCTGGTGATGACCATGGATGGCGTGGAAGCTGCCGTATTCAATGAACGCCCGGGGCAGGTGGGATGCGGGGCAGGTGGGATGTGGGGCAGGTGGGATGTGGGGCAGGTGGGATGCGGGGCAGGTGGGATGTGGGGCAGGTGGGATGCGGGGGAGGAAGTTATAATGTTTTGGAGGACAGCAGATTTGCACCTAACCTGGTGCTGCCAGCCGCTCTACGGCACGTTAGTCGCCGGGGCAGTGTGGGCACCGGCGGACTACTGCCGCATGCACGCCAACGTCTCCCGATTCCTCTCCCGATCCCCATCCCTCTCCCCTCCCCCCCCCCCTCCATCTCCCCAACTGCAGCCTCTGGAACCACCACCGGACGCCTCCCTCCCAGTCCACCTCACGTGGTGCTCACAGCCGCTCTACGGCACGTTGGACGCGGGCATGGTGTGGACCTGGGCGGAGTACCACCGCGTGCACGCCAACGTCTCCCGCTTCATATTCTACGACATGGCTGCGTGGACTCCCGCCCTCACGGCGCTCTTCACGCCGTACTTTGCTGCGGGTGTTGCTGCTGTTACGGACATGTCGGCAGGGCGGCGGTTTGGGTTTCGTGCAGGAGTGGAGTTGCTCTACTTTACTACCAAGCACCAGGTGAGCTTCACACCAAGCACCAGGTGAGCTGCACACCAAGCACCAGGTGAGCTGCACACCAAGCACCAGGTGAGCTTCACACCAAGCACCAGCTGAGCTTCACACCAAGCACCAGGTGAGCTTCACACCAAGCACCAGGTGAGCTTCACACCAAGCACCAGGTGAGCTTCACACCAAGCACCACGTGAGCTTCACACCAAGCACCAGGTGAGCTGCACACCAAGCACCAGGTGAGCTTCACACCAAGCACCAGGTGAGCTGCACACCAAGCACCAGGTGAGCTTCACACCAAGCACCAGGTGAGCTTCACACCAAGCACCAGGTGAGCTTCACACCAAGCACCAGGTGAGCTTCACACCAAGCACCAGGTGAGCTGCACACCAAGCACCAGGTGAGCTTCACACCAAGCACCAGGTGAGCTTCACACCAAGCACCAGGTGAGCTTCACACCAAGCACCAGGTGAGCTGCACACCAAGCACCAGGTGAGCTGCACACCAAGCACCAGGTGAGCTTCACACCAAGCACCAAATGTGTTTTGAGTCGATCAACACACACCCTCACGGCGCCCTTCACGCCGCACTTTGCTGCCGGCATGGCTGCTGTTACAGACGTGTCCGGAGAGTGGCGGTTTGGGTTTCACGCGGGGGAGTGGGCGCTGAGCTTTATCACCAAGCACCAGGTCGGTGGGGGGGGTTGTTTTGAGCTTCTTTTCAAGCATATACACCTTTATGTAACTGCATACGTACATACGTACACATTTCCATGAATACATTTCCATACATGCGTACATTGATTAAATCCTTGCATATATTACGTCTCCCACCACACGCTAGCAGGCAGCAACTGCACCTCTTCTCCTCTCGATGGGGCACACTGCTCGACACCAACGAGTTTTGAGGCGCCTCAAGCAAAACTGCTCAACACCAACGAATTCATCTTGCCCGTGCCGTCACAGGCACAGGGCGATCTCAGTACCTCATTCCGCGAATCGAGTACCGCATTGAGCACCTCTTCTTCACTCCCCCCTCCCACCCACCAGACCCTAGCCAGCAACGACTGCATATACCGATCGCTCTTCACCTCGCGCTGGATGACCCTCCACGACACAGACGAGTTCCTCTCTTCTGCTGAGACATGTGCACGCCTATTCTAGCACCTAATTCCACACACACCTCTTCTTCCCTTATACACCCCCTCCCACCCACCAGACCCTAGCCAGCAACGACTGCATATACCGATCGCTCCTCACCTCGCGCTGGGTGATCCTCCACGACACAGACGAGTTCCTCGCGCCCGTCCCCCCGCACTCCCTGCCCTCGCTGCTCGCCACGCACGCCCACGCCCCCTGGCTCTCACATGGTGCTTTCGCCGTCGAGCCCTCTGTCTGCCAAGGGGAAGGGGGGGAGGACGCACCCGCACCTGCTGAGGCTGCTACGGTGGTGCCTGCTGACTCTGGTGGTGTTGTGGGTGGTGGGTCTGCTGCAGTGGAGGCTGCTGGTGGTGGTGCCCGGGGGGCTGGAGCGGCAGTGAACGCCAGAAGTAGGCACGCAGAGACAGCACTGGGAACAGCAGGGAACGGCACGGAGGGTGCTGAGATGCAGTGGGATGAAGCTGCAGGGACGGAGGCAAAGAGACGTGCCGTGCAGCTGCTATCGCGAATGGTGTTCCGGCACCCAGACGTGTGGTGCTTGCGCGACAGGGCGGAGGGGCAGCGGATTGACTCAGAGCGGTGTGAGGACTGGCGGGGCCACCGGAAACTGATTGTCAACCCGCGCAAGGTGAGACGGCCTCTCACCCTCCTAGCAGGTGCTGCGTGGTGCTGCGTGGTGCTGCGTGGTGCTGCGTGGTGCTGCGTGGTGCTGCGTGGTGCTGCGTGGTGCTGCGTGGTGCTGCGTGGTGCTGCGTGGTGCTGCGTGGTGCTGCATGGTGCTGCGTTGTGCTGCGTTGTGCTGCGTGGTGCTGCGTGGTGCTGCGTTGTGCTGCGTTGTGCTGCGTGGTGCTGCGTGGTGCTGCGTGGTGCTGCGTGGTGCTGCGTGGTGCTGCGTGGTGCTGCGTGGTGCTGCGTTGTGCTGCGTTGTGCTGCGTGGTGCTGCGTGGTGCTGCGTGGTGCTGCGTTGTGCTGCGTTGTTCTGCGTGGCGCTGAATGGTGCTGAGTGGTGATGAGTGCATCCCCGCAAATCACCCATCACCCCCTTGCCTGTCATCCCCGTTGCCTGTCACCCCCATTCCCCTTCAGGTGGAGGTTATGTCTATCCACATCGCACGGGAGCCACAGAAGGGCGGAGTAGTGCTGAACGCAGCAACGGAGCTACGGCATTTCCATTTGTCTGGAGTGGTCAACCCGGTCAATGCACACTGCCAAACTATAGTGCCGCCCGGCGAGTCCCACGTGTGGTTTGTGCGGGACACCACTGTTGCTGACAAGCTACGGCTTCTAGTCAACTCTTCTGCCCCTCAACCTGAACCCTGAGAAGCAGGGGGAGCATCGTACCACTCTAGGGAGTTTCTACTCTTGTGTGGTTTGTGTGGGACACCACTGTTGCTGACAGTGGCAGACAAGCTACAGCTACTACAGTGGCAGACAAGCTACAGCTACTACGCTAGTGGTCTACCCACCCCCCCGTCAGCCTCAACTATGACTTACTAGCTAACGGCTTGTCTCCACAGCCTGAAGCTTAAGAGAATTTTATTTTCAGTGGAACTGTAATTTGAAGTGTCACATTTTTTTTGCAGTCTAAAGACTTTTAGCACTCTTGAATCAGTAGCTGGCAGTGGCAACAGAGGTAAAACGAGCCACTCTGCTGGCAGGCATACGGGTATAATATTGCCGAGGATAATGCCACCACTGCGTTTCAATAGCAACACATTTCTACACCCAGCGGGTGCACCGCTTCCGCTCCTACCACTACCACTGCCAAGACAGCTCACACCGCACTACACCACTGCAAACCTGGTCATCCACTAAACGTAATCTTTCACGGCTCCTCCACTGCAGCAACTCACTGCAGGTGCATCTGTGAACGAAATGGAGGCCATGCCACGGGTGTCACGAAGCAACAACTGCGCGGCTCTCCTTGAGTCCACCCAGGTGCTCCCTTCCTCACTTTCAAGGCGCCTGGGAAGGCGGCACCAGGGTCAGCGACGGCTGCTCGGGCCCTCTTTGCTTCCATGTACTGCCGCTTGCTCACTGCCTTCTTTGCATGCCGCCGCTGCAGCAATGATGCAGCGAGGGGAGGGGTCAGGAGAGCAGCCATGTGAGGGGAGGGGGCAGGAGAGCAGTGGTGTGAGGGGAGCGGGAGAGAGGTACCTCCCCCTCCACTCTTCCCCCTCTTCCCCCTCCACTCCACCACGGATACCTCCCGCTCCTCTTTCACTGACAGGGTGAGTGGAACCGCACGTACTACCCGAAGGAGGCGAACCACCTGAATGCGGAGCAGTGGTACATTCCCCCTCACCCCCCATCCCTGGATATCACCGCCTTTCTGCTCATCTACAGGACGAGTGGAACCGCACGTACTACCCGAAGGAGGCGAACCATCTGAACGTGGAGAAGCAGTGGTACATCGTCGACGCCACCGACAAGCGCCTGGGCCGCCTCGCCTCCACCATCGCGAACCATATCCGTGGCAAGGACCAGCCCACGTACACGCCGTCCGTCGACATGGGCGCGTACGTCATCGTGATGAGTGTTTGGGAGCGACGGCTGTGTCGTGTGTTAGGGTTTGAAGCCACTGTCGCCAACGCCCTTCGTCGTCCTTATTCTCGCCTTTTCTGACTGCCACACGAACGCGGGAGTGGATGACGCTGGCGTGGAAGACGCAAACTGTGTACCTGCTGCATTCGAGCTCAATCCTTAGAGCCCTACCTTCCCATTTCACCCCTACCCTCTCCCTCTCCCCACCTCTTCCCCACCAGGTGAACGCGGAGAAGGTGGCGGTGACGGGCAAGAAGCGCGCGCAGAAGATTTACCGGCAGCACTCGGGGCGGCCGGGCGGGATGACGGAGGAGACATTCCACCAGGTGCAGGCGCGCATCCCCGAGCGCATCGTCGAGCACGCCGTGCGGGGCATGCTGCCCAAGGGCCGGGTGAGCTGAGGGGAACAGGGGCTGGGGGCGGGGCAGGGCGTGTGGGGTGGGTTGGGTGGTGGCGGTGAGGCTGGGTGGTGGTGTATCAAAGGTACTGATACGCAACCCGGAAATCAATGTGGAGCACGCCGTGCGGGGCATGCTGCTCAAGGGCCGAGCCGTGCCCTGGGGGGCTTGGGGGTGGGGCAGGGTGGTGAGGTTATACAAGGGGCAGTATGATTGATACAGCTGCGTCCCTCGGAGGATCATGGAGCATGCCGTGTGGGGCGCTGCCCAAGGGTCGGATGCTCTTTGTGCCAGGAAACTTGGGGATTGAGCTGGGTATGTGGGCGACGCTGGGCTTGGCCGTTTGGCTGAGTGACATATTTGTCAGAGGTCCACTGGTTATCCCCGATTGATCCTAGGGAAGGGTTACAGGCTCGTTGTCCTGAGGGGTTATGGGCGCACTGACCCGCTACTTAACAAGCCATTTTATCCCAATGGTCTTGTGGTTGGGATTCTGACAATATTGACAGAGAAAAGAGCCACATCATGGAGCGAATAGTGGACCAGGACGTGCGAAGCATGCTGCCCAAGGGGCTGGTGGGTGGTGGTGAATGGGGTTGAGGGCAGGGTGTCAGAACTTGAGCTTAGAATCCATGCATTAGTGATGAGCTCAAGGCTCTTTAAGTACATCGGAAATGGGCAAGGTAAGAATGGTGGGGGCAATCCTAGGGGATTGGGGGTAATTCCAAGGCAATCTCCAATTGATGGGTTGGAGATTGCTTGGAGATCACATTTGGGTTTGGTTGGGATGTGGGTGTACACTCAACCAAACACAAAGTACACAGTACACTAGGATATAAAAGTGCAAGTACAAAATGTGAGATTTGAGGGCTAACATTAACACAGGGGTGGGGTAGTGAGGTGGGGGCATGTCAAAACACGACTTGAGCTCCATTCTTGGAAGTGTTCTGAAGCGTTTTGATGGGGTATGCTGTGTAGGCATGCTGGTATGGGATATATGGTGTGGGACATGTTGTGTGGTGCATGTTGTGTGGGGCATGCTGTGTACAAACACACCTTATTGACCCTCCACACTAGAAACAAGGGAGTATTGACTGTTGTTTCACTCCAGTTGCTATGGAGTATTGACTAATGTGTCTCTTTCGGTTTTCTGCCCTCTCTTTCCACACCAGTTGGGTCGCCGCCTATTCACACACTTCAAGGTGTACAAGGGCGAGTCGCACCCACACGAGGCCCATACGCCACAGCCTCTGCCGATTCATGACAAGCGCATCTCTCTTGCTTGAAAATACAATTCATTAGCCTATTTCTGTATTTGTTTGACTGTTTTTAGAATTCTCATGTGTCTACTGCAATATCATACTCTGGCCTGCGTGTTACAGTGTTCCGCTATATGATGCAACCATCCTTACAACTGCATTAACACTTGTCCAATAGTGAACTTGTGCGCTACAATTTACTTCTGTACTCGGTACAAAGAGGGACATGCGTGTTACCAAGCATGCGACAAGCTCTGAGCGAGTGTGCGTCATCGTGGTGCTGTCGTTCCCGTTCGTGCGCCAATGACAAATCAACAACAACCATCCAGCCCCACGATTCTTGATTTCACGCGCTTCGATCCTATAAAAACACCGCGACTCGACACGCACCAGATTGTCACTCCATAATGCCACCAGCCAGGTAGCTATCCCACCCACCCCACGTCTTCCTGAAGTGGCAGAAGTATTTCACCCTTTGCCTCAACAACTAGTAAGTAGCGGAAAGACTTCGAGACACGCTCGTCTCTTCATACTCGAGCCACTACTAGCTCACACTCGAGCCGGTACTAACTCACACTCGAGCAGCTACTAGGTAGTATTCATAAGAAGTCACAGCTCCTCTGCTGAAGTCATAAACCCAGACCTGGGATCGAAGGATGATGACGTGTCCACCTTTTAAGAGCTCGCAGCACGGGTGGGGCATACACGCGGCCGCGACGCTCGGCGCGCTGATGACGCTGCTAGTGTGCGGGGTACGTCACGCCGAATAGAGCAATGGACCGATACAAGCCACGTATAGGCTACATTAAAACTGCATAGTGATCGCCATCAAGTTCTGAGACGGCGCCGCCGCATAGCCAGCCGACGCGCTGCTCGATCGCGGTGAGAGGCACACGTCAGTGCCTCCCATCGAGCGACTGTCTCCACGCAGTGGGGAAAGGGTAGGAGGCCACATTTGGGGGCCAGAGGATTTTTGCACTTTCCTCCTCCACTCTTGGCTAGAGTGGAGGCTGCTCGAGGCTGCTCTATAGCCCAAACCACGCCTTCCCCTCTTCTTCCTGTCCATCTCTTGTCAATCAGGCCCTAGTCCAAGACGCATTGACTCCTTTCCTCTCCCCACTACTCCTCTCCCGCTCCTCCCCTCTCCTCCGGTTCCGCTCCTCCGTCCTCTCCTCCTCCTCGCCCTCCTCCGTCGCTGCGCGCCAAGCCGCTCCAAACAGCACCGCCGGCGTCGGCAATGCCCCATGTCCCGCACTTGAAGCCGTGGCAGTAGCGCATAAGGCAGGAAGCGGGAACGGCGGAGATGGCGGAGAGGCGCGCGATAGAGATGACGGAGTTGGTGGAGAGAAGCGCGGCGAGGAGGAGCAGCAAAATGAAGCGCCGGGTGACGTGCAGACTCCGGCGCAGCTATCGGTGAGTGATGAAGCGCTGTCGGATAATACGGTGTGGCGGATAGTAAGGTGTGGGGGGTAATGCGGTGTGGCAGATAATGCGGTTGGCGGGTATTGCGGTATGCGGTGTGGCGGATAGTGCGGTATGCGGTGTGGCGGATAGTGCGGTATGCGGTGTGGCGGATAGTGCGGTATGCGGTGTGGCGGATAGTGCGGTATGCGGTGTGGCGGATAGTGCGGTATGCGGTGTGGCGGATAGTGCGGTATGCAGTGTGGCGGATAGTGCGGTATGCAGTGTGGCGGATAGTGCGGTATGCAGTGTGGCGGATAGTGCGGTATGCAGTGTGGGGGATAGTGCGGTATGCGGTGTGACTGGACGGAGGTGACAGTGGTTGAGAACGGTCGGTGGAGTGGCCCACCCCGCCCCTCCATTGTGAGCGCAATTCTTGAGAAGTCTAAAAACGTTCTCCACTCCCATGCTCTCTCCTCCCCCCTCTGCGTGCGTGTGTGTGTGGGTGCCTCTGAACCTGCCTGTGCGTGCGTCCGTCCGTGCCCGTGTGTGTGTGTGCCCTTGCGGCCGGCAGCGCTACACGGAGGCCATGGAAGCGCGGCGCCGGCGAAACCGGTCGGACGTGACTGTGACGAGGGTGCTTGAGGCGGAAGCGCGGCAGTGGAGGCAACGAACCTACCAGCAGAGAGGATTCCTCTACGAGTTCAGGTGCTGCTGCCATTCCTCTACGAGTTCAGGTGCTGCTGCCATTCCTCTACGAGTTCAGGTGCTGCTGCCATTCCTCTACGAGTTCAGGTGCAGCTGCGATTCCTCTACGAGTTCAGGTGCTGCCATAGTCAATGTCGTATGTATGTACACGGCCAAGCTCTCTCCTGCCTTATCTCCCTCGTACCCTCGTCCCTCACTCACACACTCACTCACTCATTCCCCATCCTCTATCCGGCCCGTTCCTCTTCTCCATCCCCATCAACCACTACTCTCCCATTTCTCCATCCCCCCAGCGCCTACCACATCAGCCCCTCTCGCTTCGTCGTACTCGGTATAAGCAGCCTCAATTTCTTGTGGGTGACGGAAGGGGAGGGCTGCCGATGGGTGGGGCGAGACGGCAGCAGATTGAACGGTTCAGTGTGGTACAGAGACTTCATGCGCCCCAAAACTAAGGTGCTTCAAGTCACACCACTTACTCACACTTCCCCTTATCCTCGTTTCAAACTGACTCGCCTGGTCACGAATTTTCTATCCAACCCTTTCCCCTTTCCCTCTCCATGTCCTCACCCTCGTCCCCCCTGCAGACGGACTCAATAACGAAAATATTCATCCTCGGGTTCCCTCCCCTTTCCTCTACACCCGCTTCCGCTCATCCCCCTTACAGACTGACTCGCTAGCAGCGTTCTGCCAGCTGTGGGGCAACACGTCCCGGGCGGGCGGCTATCTGGTGATGACCATGGACGGTGTTGGTGCAACCTACGGTTTGCACTCGGCTTGTTGTCCGTGTGCGTGCATGCGTGTGTGCATGGAATGGTATGAGGGCATGAGATAATATATATTTCATGCTTATAATAGTGTGTGAATGTTGAGTCATGATGTCGAATGTGTGCGTGTCAAGTCAATAGCGAGTTATCGCTATTCGTGTCCCGCGCGGTTTCTATCTTGTCGCTTGTGTGTCTCGCGCGGTTCCTATTTTGTCCTGTGTCGAACGTTCGGCGTGTCGCAGGTGTGTGCAGCAGACCCATGAAGAACTCAAGGATGAGTTTGTGGTGAAGAACCAGAGCCTTGGTGTCAAGCCTCAAGTGATTTCGAAGCTCGCCAAAAAGGGTACACTTCAAGATGTTGAAGATAGTTACATTACAATGTGTAGTGTAACACTTATGTTGGTGTAGACCCTTGTGGAGGGTAGTTTCGAGACCCTTCTTGGTTGGGGACAGTGTGGCACTGTTCCACATCACTGTAACTCGGCTCTTGGGGTTTGTAGGAGCTGGGAGTCATTCCCAACTCGTAACTCTTCCTAACTCTTCCTATTGTGTGTTCTAAGACTATAGTGGCTGCCATAGTGCCGTTCGTTCAAACCGATGCTGTGTCGTCAATACTTGGTGAAATCGTGCGATCTAAATTGCCTATTGTAGGCGATGTTAAGACGCTCCAGATCCAAGTTAAATCAGGTCATTTGAAGCTGTGACCAGAACGCTATGAACGTTTAAAGCCGCTGTGCAGAAATCCGACTGTGCACTCTATCTTTCGTTTTAGGCACATTGAAGCCTACTGTGACTATAACACGTGGTATCAGAGCCCTTGGAGCAGTTTCGACAATTGCTGGACCTGAGGAAAGGGGTGGCAGAGGTGCTG